TGTTGAACAATAATTTTTGCAGCACAAGTCAGAAACTGACTTAAAATTGCAGGGAAGAAAAGGTGACATGAAAGGGAGATGACACATTTTAAATATATATTCACCTTTGAATGTAATTTTATGCCAAAAAATACTTCAGTGTAAAGTAAATTTGAAAAGCTTACGTCGCTTTTGAAATAGGTGGAAGAACAGATTCAATATTTGATATCTGTCGAAGAGGTCTGCTAAGAACCGTTGAATCTCAAATATTTCCCAGTTAGCCTTGTTTACAATGGTTCTTAAACCTGTCAATTTATGGCATAAACCCTGGTTATCCCTTTCTTAACAAGAAATTTATTTTGCGTCAGAATATCTATTATGCAATCATTAAATCGCCTTGTAGCATGATTATTTTGCGGGAGTTTTGGCTCCATCGAGTGTCTTTGCGAGAGCAATTTTCTTACAGTACTAAAATTCTCCAGTGAAGTAATTTTTGAGATTTTTCTACTCAAGCAGCGAAACATTAACCAGGAATTAAACGACGAGTGACAAAAGGGGGTATTTAGAGGACAACCTCTAATAATGGGTTGAAATTTTTCAAGTTTTAAAACTTTGAAAGATAATACTTACACCTTTTATTGTGTTTTTGATTCAGCGTTGAATCAAAAACATAATAAACAGAAAGCTTACCCATACCCTCCCTCACTCCGCTGGGATTTTCAACGAAAGCAAGCAGTAAAATTCTGCGGCGTCGACTTTAGTGAATTTTTATCTTTTTGAAAGATAAAAAATCAGCAAAATCTGCAGCAAAATAGAACTTGCAAAGTTTTCATGTTACATGATCTGCACTCTGTTCAGGCGAATCAATTTCACTACACGACTGAAATTCAGTTTCACATTTGAATCTAGATTGATTAGCTTCCCTAGTTTTGAAATTGATCGCGTCAATATGCCGGAACCCATTATCAGAGTACGAAGGTTAAAGTTGAAGATTAATTTTCATGCGTCAGCAACTTGTTTAAAAGACCTTCCAAGAGGTCATCTTCAGAGACTTCAACCGACCAATAATAAGGTATAAAGGGGGTAAGTTTGCGTCGATGGGAGAGAATAATGAAGTAATTTCGAATCATCAACTGAGTCATTCGCTCTGACGAAGGGAAAACGCTCGAAACGTCTGCTTTAAAACTCTTCACGGTGGCCAATTTACGTTATCAACTCAGTTGATAATGCTTAATTACCCAACAATAAGGTAGTTACTGCCTTTCATCCAAGCTAGAGAAACACTTTTTGCGCAGATAAATTGCATAGTTGAAGAAGAGTGAATTGAAACCACGAACAGAATTACAAAATATCTTGCTGTGCGGCAAGAAAAATATACCGAGAGAACCAAATCAAATCTATTTTTCCTTCTCTCTCTCTCTTCTTTTCTAAAGTTGCACGAACGCAAACCTCTTCATATACCCACGTGGAGTCTGAAAAATGACGATATGTTAGATTTGCACTGAAAATTCACTAAAGTGATAAAAAATATTTCCTGAAAATGAACGAGATACAAGGGAAGTACTATGCTATAACAAGTGGATCTGAGAGAAGTTACATGAAAATGTTGATGCCATTTCTGCAATTCCGAATGGAAATAAAATAAAAAGAACAGCGTTTGCAGTTTTCGTTAATAATGAAATTTACTTAAATTTCCAAAATACCTTGAGCAGCATATGGAAAAAATGCTCTGACTTAGAAAAAGCCAGCATAACCCATAACAATTGTCAAATATGCAGTTGAATCATGTTTCGTTGTCTTCATATTTGACATCTTATCCTCAAATTGAATTTCTTTTGTTAAGCGGGGCTCTTTGAGAACTGGAGAAGGCATTTAATTATTGCTTAACGTTTTGCTATTGGTGTAGATGTTTGGTACCAACGTGGTCAAAGAGTAAAAAGTGATAGCACTATGTAGCCTACCTAAGGATATCATTGAATAGTTTATGAAACCATTAAATGAGGAAAAACGAGAACGTAAATGAATGAATTAATAAAATTCTCAGGTGAAATTTTAAATTTTTCTAAAAATAGAAAATAAAGGGTTTTTTTTTCTTTCAACTGATTATGATTAAGAATAGTGAAGATCTCCTACTGAGTGCATTATCAAGAACTTGCTTCAAAGTTGTGAAGCGACCGTTATATTGAAGTATAAATACTTTTTCGGCTATTAACCTATCTGAGGTAAAATTAAAAAATGAGTGAATAAATTACTGTTGTAGGAAATCTCTTTACTGTCGGTTCGATGGTCAATTTAAATCTCTTACATCGTAAAAACGTCCGATGAAGAAAAACCCGTCTTCTGTTGAGTTTCTTTTCTTTCGTTTTCACGGCTTATTGCATGTTTTGACAATCTATCAATGTCTTAAATCATAAGAATAAATAACTGTAATTAAAAATTCCTAACCTGATCAGGAGATTTCACCTGATAATGTTACCTTTGGCTGAATTTTCACATAATTTGCGCTCAGATTGATAAAAAAAAGATCCAGTCATTTCGAATCGACTGAACGACAGGACAACAAATTGAGAACATTTCCTCATTTTAAATCCAAGAAATAACTTCAATTTTGGGTTATTGCAGCGCCATTAAACAAATTTTCCCTTTTAAACGTTAAGGAAACGAAGCTGAGGTTTAAATACAGATATATAAACGTAAATAATGAGCGATAACAAAGATTTGAGGTATAACTGTATTCTACAACCAAGATTCAAATAATACTGAAATTCGACGAGCACATCGCGCTAACACTCAACACGGCTACAGCTCTTGTGAATTAATCAGGTAAAATAAGCGGGTTTTGACGGTTGAATCCTATTAGACACCCGACATATAAAGAGTGTACTTATATTTATATATGTACTTCTGTTCCTTGAATTACTTACCTCTTGGCAAACTACTCTCAGTTTCTTTGCAGATGATATCAACTGTGCTGCTTTGTTATTTCCCCACAAATAATTACTTTTGTAGACGGCGATAGGTTATGCTTTTTTAACTCTGTGAAATTTCATTTAATATACGTTAGCCTTGATAAGTGGTCGAACTATTAAGCTAGCGAAAGGCGCAGTATCAATTTTTAATACGCTTTCTATCCGTTTACGATCTCATATTTCATTTAATGGCGAGTGCTTCTTTTCCACCAATCAGCTCAACTGTAGTTATGTTAATTCCAAGCGTTTTTTTCAGAAAAAGACAAAAGAGAGCAAATACTTAAATGATCCTGGCGTCTTAGTGCGTTCACAATCTGCCACATCTTTAAGTATCTCCCAAGAGCTAAACAGAAGTGAGGGAAAGGATAACAAATATTTCATGTGATCCATTTTTAATGTTATTCTTTCTTACTTGATCATTTTCAACGTTTCGATAAAAGCAATTGAATTTGTTTTTTGTTACTCTATAAATGTTAAAAAATATCAAGAGATTTGTTTTCTTACCAGAATAAAATATCCCATTTCCGAAAAAAAAGTCGCTTCAATATATCACGGGATTATCTCGCGCAATTCAGTGGCATCTTAACCTGTCTCAGAAAGCACTTAGCATGGGCACTTTTATCAACATTAACGAGGAGAATTTCCACGCCTTTTTTTTATTCGCTGCAAATGTTAATGGACAAGAGAAGACACTATTGCCTTTGAATATAAAAATTGAAAAAAAATGAAGACAGCGTTGCATTAGAATTTTCTAGAAATGCTTTAATCCATGGAAAAGGAGACCCATTTCCAAATAGTCACGAAAAGAAAACTTTTCCTTGGAGTTGCTTTTCAAGCGTTACTTGAAAAAAGCATCAAAAAAGCTGTTATTTCACATGGCAAATGTTTGTGAACCCGTTGCGTTATGCACACCTCAGTTTGTATTTAACAAAAAGTACTTTCAGTACAAATGTAACAAGAGATGACCTTACACTGCGTCAGTAAACACGTATTTTTGTTCTCACACCTTGTACCGTTCCTCACAGAGGTTTTCATTCGCCTCGCTTCAGCAATCAAGAATCACTCCCGGCAGCACTTACTCAAACTCCCTGAAGCTGCTATAAAAGCATCTTTAATTTCGCAATTAGATGAAGAGTTAGAAGCTCCAGGAGAGCTCCATTCATAAACCTTTGTTCACTTAAACAAAGCTGAATTTGAATCAAATGATGCGCTGATGTCTTTACACTGACGGTAAAGGAAAACAGTTTACGAGTGTGACGTTCAGATATACTCATGCTTGGTTCATTGTGCGTCATAGCATCTCGCTTGCGAGTCGCACTTCATCCATTCAGAAACCATTCCTTTTATGACCCAACTTAGCTTTAGTAAAGTTAAAAGTAGGAAGTAAAGACTACTAAATGCTCCCTTTTTCAGCCAAGGTCATATTACACCCACTTGAAAGGGTGGTAATTGCAAGCTTCAATCACTTCAAAGCCGCTCTATTTATGATAATCGCTTCCTGGATTCATATTTTTGCTATATTTAGTGTTCTTTTCATTCTTTTTTATTTACGTAGTCCTTTTCTTTCGGTTATTTATTTGAAGCCGAAGTTTCTGGCAATCAAAAGGCGTGATTTCTTTCGAAAAGTGAAGAGCGTCTGACGTTTGCACAAAAATAACTTACTAGTTTCAAAAAAATCCCCTGCCCACGGTTGGACACTTCAGCCGTGGGCAGGGGAAAGTGTGTTTATCCTGCGGCGCTTGTAAGCGAAGGTTCAAAACTTAGAATAATTGCAGGTTAACGCACTCAGCGAGTGAATTATCGGGATTTACCTGCACGAGTTCACTAACAATAAACGAGGCTTTACCGAATGCGGTATTGAAAATTTCGAGTTCATTATTTGTGAATGAGTACAGGTAAATCCCAATAACTCACGAGCAATGAGTGCGTAAACATTTTTATTATCCAAATTCAATACCCTGCACAAACAAACACTGTACTGAAACCTGTCGACAACGCGCAAATACACCTCAACTAGCTTGAATGAAAAATTTAAAATTAAAAAAACCTTACCTTTCAAAACAGATATTTCCCAAGCAGTTGCCCTCTTGGCGTTTTTAGGAATTGCATCATCAATAAGGGAATCAATGTCTGCATCTGACAAATCGTCAAACTTTGAGTCAGCCGAAGCCATGATGTAATGACAGTGGTGTGATGAATTTACACCACGGCTATTACACCACGATAATGACGTCAAGGACGTTGTTTCGTCACAACCCAGTATCACATAGTACAAATCAGGCGATCAAAAATCGGAAATCGTACTTAGAAGTGAATGAAAGGACAGATTGGTATGAGAAGACCCCATTGCCAAGAAAGTAGGAAGCCAAAAGGAATAACTAAGTGAAAATGAAGACGACAAAGAGTTATGAAAAACTGAAGACGCAATTTTAATCAGTATTAGAAAGAAAACAGTTATTTACAAATGAATACAGTTTTACGTAAACAATCTTACTTATGTACTTAAGTTAACAAATAGCGGGATTAGAGCTACACAACCCACGATTGGCGCACCAATTTTTACCCACAAAATTGATGCTCTTAAAGCAGAAAGAAGAAATAAAAAGAAATAAAATTTGGTTTACGCATTACCAAAATTCTTCAGGCTGCACTTGACGTTACTCAATACCCATTCAAAGTTGGATCTGAATAACTTATTGCCCTACTTCACGGTGAGCAATAGGCTGGTGCTTTAGAAAACCTCTTCCTTGACAGCTCACACAAAACCTCATCAGATCTGAAGAGTGTCGTACACCTATTTCACGGAGACCTTTGTTCCCTACTGGTTGCCTCGCTTGAGATTGTGGTTGTGTATTCTTAAAGCAACCATATCACCGAAAATGTAAACTATTCTGGTAACTTGTCTGAATCAATCCCACCTTGGTAAAAAGTTAGCTTCATAGGGGTGGCTTCTATTGTAAATTGCTCTCATTCGGATACCAAATAGGGAACAACTCGTGACAACTAACAACTTGAGATTCGCTAAAGGTAAAGATCCGATCTTTTCACAGTGCGTGCATGTAATGTTTATCTTAAAACTTGCTTCACAAAGGTATCAGCCAGTTTAAAGAACTTCTGTTCAGGTGCTTCGGTGAAAGCCAGAGCCTTAGTCGGTGTCCTCCTTGCTGCGCTGCTGGGACTGGTCTGAGTGCCCGCTGGTGATGGTGGAAGACCACGTCTGGCAAAGTGACGGAAGAGACCTCCAAGAAAATTACCCTACAAACAACAATCAATGTAAAAAGGTCAGACGGTTAAAACTGTTTATTGACCCTCTGAGACGACTGGCCAGGAAACTGTTTAGTGTAGGGGCTGTCGGGAAATTTCTCCCCTGGCACTCTTCACGCGACAAGGTCAGAGAATTAAAACCTTTTTCTGAACCTGTGAGAAGAATGGACAGGAACCTGTTTAGTGTAAGGGCTGTCGAGCTTTTTTTCCCTGGAATGATATGAGGATGTAGAGGTAAGGGATGAAAATTGTACTAGATTTAGTGTTGAATCGAAAAAATGGTAAACAGAAAAGCGGAAACGCAAAGCACAATATTGTCAAGGGCTCTGCTCAAAGTAGAAACCAACACTCTAAGTTCAAATCACTCTGCCCCAGATCTTTCAAAAGGGGTGAACCAGTATCGCCTCACAAACCATTTTTTAACGGCGTTAGAAACAACGACGAACCAAATTTATTCATTTTATTTATTTGCAATATTTCCATAGGGTAACTCAGTTCAGCTTTAAAGCTTGAATTGGGGCCTGGATAAACGGTAACAAGGCCAGACCACACCACCGTGAGCAACGCTCTCTACTCTGCAAGAAATGAGCGGGTTTTTTAACGTTCCCCAACCAACCAACCCAGATATAAGGCAGGAGACAGCGGCCTACAGTATCTCATCCTAATCCTAAATTATTGGAACGTCTGATCATTTGCAGATATTACAGTAAAGGCAGCACAACTTACCAGTTCACTACCAAGTTCTCTCTTTAGAAATTGCTTGACCCGCAGGTCCAGTCCGGGATCCCGCAAGTATCGACAAGCCTGAGATAGAGCGATGATCAACGCATTCTCCATAGTGAACATCAGAAGAGATCTACAAACAAAGATAGTTCTAGAAGATTCGAGTTGGAAGCAACGAAGAATTTTACTTTCTTAAATACAATTGCAGGTAAAATAGATACACAAACTTCGATATTGTACCTTGCCACACTATGCAAGTAGCATGTTTCGTAAAAACCAATAAAAACGCGTGTAAAATTCAGCTTATCATATAAACTCCCATAAACAGTAGATATTGACCAATTAGCGCGCAAGAACATGACAACATGAAAGGAAATAACAGATGGAGAGCCACTCGTAACTTCCTGAAATAAAAGGCAAGTCTCCTTAGACAAAGAGCTACTGCAAGCAACCAAAAATTATTCAGCAAACTGTACGTCTCACCTCGGTAATGACTCCGACAGAGTTCGGACTGGTGATTTCACAGGTGACTTCATGTCAGCCTTCCAAGGCAAAAAAAAGGTCAAAAGTCAGAGTGATACAGGTATATCTGAGAAGTGTACGACATATAACTGTGAAAAATTACAACAGCGAAAAAGGTTATGCGTCGCACCAGAGATAAATAACTACACAACTGATGTAAATGAGTATAAAATTTATATTTGCATTCATTGCACGGTAAGTAAACATACATTTCACGACAAAAAAAAATGTTCCTAGACAGTGCCAGAAACGTATGGTTTTGCAAAAAACATAGAAAACTCACTGGGCCAAGATTGGAGAGGGCCATATTGAGGCAGGCCAAGAGAGTACCAAACGACAACGGCTCTTCAGTGTCCACAGTCGGGGAACTGAACCCGAGAGAAAGCAGCGGGGGGAATTCCTCAAGATCCATACCCTAAAAAATAGCACAAATGTAAGTGGTTAAATACTTTGTCGAACTTTCAAGCTTATAAACAATTTGAACAACCCACATCGCTTTCCTACCTGATCTATGAGAATACCACAAATGTCCGGAGTAAATTGCCGCAGCATCGCCAGTGAGTTGCAGAGAATCTTCAACAACCTGATGATTATAAAAGAAACAACTATTCAGTAATCAAATTTTTAGTCGACATTTAATGTCCAAATGGGGTAATGCAGCCATGGTAGGTTATTTACTTCATACAGTATCATATAATCATAGTGCTAAATTCTGTATGCAACATTGAGGGAATAAGAATGCAGTTTCTTTTTTTCGCGATGCAAATAACAACAACGAAAGAAATTTCATAAATAAGCTTAAGATTTAAGACATATTTCCAAAAACTTCAACCACCTTGTAAGTGTTGTCACAAAAGAATAAGTCGTCCCAGTACAGAGCATGCATTGATCAGACCCTTTCTTCGTGCATTATCCGCAATCTTCAGCCCTAACTTTTGTTAAAGCATCTACATTATCTAAACTCAAAGCATGCTTACTGTGACTGAGTTTGAGAGACAAGAGGGCTGTTTCTAAAAGAGTCATCATCTGCGTATGAGTATGTTCTGAGCATTTCTCTGGAGAAGGTTTGGCTCAGCGAGAGCTGCACATCTGGTGTCGAGGCTTTCCCGTGTGCACTTGAGCTTGCACGCCCTTTGGACACCTAATGTAAGCAAACGTCGACAATTTTCAAATTCCATATATGATACGTTTAAAATATGTTGCAGCATATTGTGCTAAGTTCGTCGCCCTTTAGTTGCCAGTGTCAGGAGGAGATTCCACTACAGAAAGTCTATCGTTACTCAGAGCCATGTAAAATTGACCACCTTTCGTTTAAATTCACCAAATTAGCATTCGCGTGCAGCAGAGGGAATAATATATTAATTATGATAAACCGGCTTAAGATTTTAAGCAAAGGAAGACATTTTTCGTTTACCTCAAGCAAATGAGCAAGCAATCTTGGGTGAGTCAGCAGAGCTATGCAACTTTGGCAAAGAACACCAATACGGCTCTGAAAGGAAAATTATCATTTCGCTAAAACAGAAGTTGATGTTAACAAACCTCTCTCTTACGGACTTCAAGACTGTCAGATATCAATTCAAACGGTCAGGACCCACCTTCCTAGTTACAGACTTCAATTTAGTGATTCTACTGATTCCGTCGCTTTAAGCACTGTACAAAACCATTAATGTATTGATAGTTACCTGAAGTAGTATTAACACATCTGGCAGAGTGAATCTCCATTCGTGAAAAAAATGAGCAAGTTCCAGTAAGAAAGCAGTCACTTCCTCTGCTTCCGCCAAAACGTCTGAAGACTGAGACCGGCTCACAGAGTTCAGGGCCTGAGAGATACGAGTCAGTGAATACAAATGACATCAGTTGAGAACTCTCTAGATTTTCCAGGACCCGCGCAAACCCTGGAAATACTTGTGGAAAAAAGATATAATTAGTTGGAAAAAAGTTTACGAAGGGATTACGTCAAGGAAAAGGGCAAACATAGCCATAGTTGATCCAAAATAAGTTTGCTGATGGCCGTCTCCCAGGTGTCTTTGATGACCATGTCAAGGAATGCAAATCATTTTGAATAAATTTGTATTAGGCCACGGTTAATGAGGCCAGTTGCCATCTTATACCTGCCGAATTAATAAATCGACAAGATCAGTTACCAGTTTCTTTCGAGCATTTCATTAGGATAACTCCGTTTCAAATACGCTCTTTGTAATATGTGTTGAACATAAATAAAACAATAATTGAAAAAGTCCGTGAATAGGAATAGGAGGCCAGTTGAAAGCCATTCCGAATAAAGTCTATGAGAATGTGACATTTAATGGCAAGAAAATGAGTAGTGACGCAATTCTTCCTCGTGGTCTAAATAGCTCCTATGTCTACCGAGCAAATGTAAGTGAAACGTGAGATATTCCCTGGTATATTACTGGCACACATTGGATAACTTGTACACATTGTAATAATTTAGTGCAGATTGTCCTGGCTCTCTATCCTTTCCACCCTCAGTACTTATCATCTACCTTGTCTAAGTTCACCTCAGTCAGTTGCTGTCCTTCAACTTACAGAAAACACTGAGCTTTATTATGAAAGGACACAAGTTTTGTAACCCTTTTACACCCAAATATGAGTATCTAAATTCTCCATACCGTTCTCTATACTTTTCCTAATGCGCTGACAAGGAGAATTTGTTCGACAATCGAGAGCTTCTTCAGTTAGAGATAATTTCCTTTATTCTCATAACCTTAATATGTGATTCAAAGGTGATATTGTACAGAGAAATTAGAGGCTAGTCACTTAGGGGTCAAAGGATGAAATCTCTACAGTTATATCAAATCAGCTTTCTTGAAACAAAAGCCAGACATAGCCCAACTAACAACATGTACATAAAATCGAAATACGTTTTTGTTGACCTCTGCGAGTCTTTCTCTGTGTACTCCTGCAAAGTCTAGTGCATCTTTGAGAAAACCATGTCTGAGTGTGCGCAGCATGGACGCCATCACAGCGAGGGAAAGCTGCCACACTTTATCCCAGCTTCGTTGGCTACTTTTGTCCGAGTTGTGAGAGGATACCTGAGACTGGGGACCAGATTTGGGCCGAGAAGCCTGCTAGAGAGAAAGTAACGATGAAGTGAGGTCTCCAAGTGCGTCGTGGTAATATAAGAACGCCGATTTCAAATTCTAGTATACACAAAGTAAAGCCGGGAATATGTTAACAAATATCTAAGAGTGAGTTTTGGATGGGAGCGTGAACGGATTTTCAATTTCATGTTAGATATACCACGCAATTCAAATGGAATTGAAAAACAAACAAACAACAGGGGCAGGGTTTGAAACACTGTTTAAAGTGTAAACCCGTTGTTCGATTAAAATGAAAATCGTGTCCAGTCTTGAATCCGTCACACATGGGGAATACTACCACAAGCTTTGAACCTTTGGCCACAATCCTCGAGGTAGACGATGACTGCCAGTCACAAGGGGCTGTAATTATAACCTTCCCTTTCTCTGTCTGTCTACTTGATATTCGTGGCTAACATGGATATATAGAAGAAGAGTCACGTCTGTGTAATACGCGTTCAAAGAGAGGAGTAAAAAGAGCTGGACGGAAGAAATAATTACCTGTGGTGTGCCTTCAGAGTAAGTCAGCGAAGCCAATCCTAGGCAAAGTGGTTGGGATATACTATTCATGGCCAGGGCCTCAGCACTCTGAAAAATTAGCAAGAAGTAAGAACAAAAGGTTATAATGGCTCACACTACGAGAGATCGGGCAATTTCACAATTGCGTTTACAAATCAAGAATTTGAAACAACATACAAAACATGTGATCAAAAACTGCAGTGACGCAAATGTGTTAAGATAACACAGACACATTTCATACCATTGGTATTCTTGACAGCGACAGGAACAAGTGAAGAATGGCTTCGGTGAATTCTACTTTCTCGTGCGTCTGAACAAGAAAAAATATTAGCCGTAGTGTTTATGTGATTACATTAAGTTCATTGTGAACACTGTAAACATATCATGCAAAAGTTATGCTGATTGGTTTCAAAGGTTTCACAATACCTTAATACACACATCCAGGGCCTGAACCAGAGACGCAAACAGCGCATGCTCTCTCAACACAGGAAGCCACTGACCAGGGTTGGCGAGCAGAATGTTCAGAATTTCATCGATGATGAACACAGACAGTTCAAGAACCTACAAAACATAACGCGAAAAATGCGATATGTTACTCAAACAGAATAAAACATACGTAACGTTTTTACTTTTCAAACGGGTGACTCTGGTAAGCAGTACGAGAGGACTTATCAAAAGAGTGGAAATACAAGTCCAGGCATGCCAAAAAGTTTAATATGTCAGCATACCCTATCTTGTTGCTTCTGTTCGCTCGAGAATCTTCCTCTTAAGTATTCCAGTGGTTCACAAGCCAGCGGTAAAAGAACCAACGCATGACTGCTCAGTAACGTGTCTAAATACAACAGGCAAATTAATACGGTCATTTGAACTGAGTAACCATGGCCTCTACTGCGCCCAATTGTGGTACATGGGTAATGCAGCTGTAAGCCGACACATGACCTTAAAATTTACAACGAATGGAAAATTGTGAGCAAGCACTAACAACAGTTACACATCAACACGAGCCAGTCGTTACAGTGAAAGTTTTGAACTAATTAGAAAGCAGTTGACTGCAAATGAGCTCCTCAAGTTTACGAGAGCCCACACTAAGGTGATTACCAATAGTCTTTTCTCGGAAGGTCTCTACTCAGGAGAGAAAAGAATACAGCTTCTCAGGAAAGAAGTCTTCCCAACATCCAAACAGTAAAAAAAAAAAATGCTCAAACTTTACAGCGTCCGCGAGACACGATCGCTCATGCAATTCACAGGGC